TAATTATTGGCATGAACATTTGATCATTTGTAGGAAGTTTATTCTGAGTAAGTATATGAACAATAAAGAAAAATAAGTTTTAGGAAAGATAAATACTGTTGCAGTGGATTCTGTGATTGGTAAGAATACTTATGATATATATTTAGAAAAAATATGTGTTTTACAATAGTTCATATTGAATATATATTTAGATATTGTATAATATACATGTACTAAATATGTTGTAAACCAACTGTTCTTTCAATATGTAAAAGTTAAAATTACACCTTCTCCTTTTGTTCTGTCAAATGCACTTTGCTTTTTAATTTTTCATTGGCATCTTTAGGAGACATTATTTAGAAGAAATCATAAATTTTGTATTTTTCAGTGGTGAGTGTCTGTTCTAAGAAGCTTCTGGGTTTCATGGTTTTAAACTAAAACTACCTAAAGAGAAGAAAGCATATAATAATCTTATTTTTAGCTGGGCATTGGAGGTGCACGCCTTTAATCCCAGCACTTGGGAGGCAGAGGCAGGTGAATCTCTGTGAGTTCGAGGCCAGCTTGTTCTGCAGGGCGAGTGCCACAATAGGTTCCAAAGCTACACAAAGAAACCCTGTCTCAAAAAAAAAATAACAAACAAAAATAATAACCTTACTTTTACCGAACATTTTTTAACTTTGGTAAATATGCCTAGTTTAATATCTGCTAATGGTATTGGTCATATATAAAGGGAAATTATTAAAAATTCCTTTTGCATTACAGAAAAATATCAATAAAAACATGTTGGTGTCCAATCATCTCATATTAATCAACATGAAGTAACCAAATGTAAAAATTATAAGTAGATGTATTTTACTTACAAAAATCAGTTCTTAGTATTTTCTATTGCTTTCTTTTTATGCAAACCAATGAAGTGTCACGTGCAGACACATTGGGACACAATGTCCTTGTACTTTATGATAATATCTCTTCTGAATTCAGTTTTATTGCTTTATGAATAGAAAGTTTATATATACTACTGATTTTATCTAAAGTTTAGGAGTTTCATATCATGTATTTGTTTTCTTATTATTAAGATGACAATGATATCATTTTTTTAAAATTTAAGAAACTTGCACCATCAACTCTATAACCAAATATAGTCATACAAAAGTTAACTAAGGTATAAACATGCAAAAGGGGAAGTCTCCCTGTGATCATAAAATGATGTTATTTTCTGTTCAGCAGTTCATGTTACTGCTGTTCATGCTAATTAATTAAAGGAGCTGTTGCAGTAATGTGCAAACAGGGAATCTGAGAAACTAAGAGGGCTTTTAGGTCTCCAAGTGAAGTTAAGTCAATCTGGGCATGGGCAATCAAATGTAATGAAATCACTTGTCAGTGCTAAGCTTGCAAAAACTGTGAAGTTTGACTGGGGAGTAAAAGGATTATAATTAGATTTCCAATAGGATAATAACTAAATGGCAGAATGCAGTAAAGAGAAAATATTACTTTGTTAGCTAATGGTACTGCTGTTCAGTTTTAGTTTTTATCAGCTCACTTGTAGTTGTGCTAATTTAATTTGCTTTAATCAGCAAAAATGCAGCACACAAATGCCACTTAAAGGTCATTTGCAAAAATCATTGATCTAAAGGTACACTTAATGACACTTGGTATGTTTATTTTATGTGAAGCAGAGATTGACTGATAAGATGGTTGATGTGCTGTCTTACAGGTCCCCAGCTGAGTTAGAAGATTTTGAATTGGATCACATTTGGTCATATACTCTGAAAAATTCAGCTCCTGAGATTGTGGACATAAGCACCACAGTGAGGATTTAGGTGTGAGGTATAATGAAAGATGGCTGAAATACAAAATTCTGTTTATTGAGGTTGTCTAAGTGTGTTATCACTTTTGTCAAACGACATTTAAAGTGCATTAGAAATGAAATAAGCCAATAAGACTTACAAACAATAATAATCCTGAGTAGTTTGTCTTTGCTCAAATTTATTTGAACATTATGGTTAAACAAGATACGATTGCTTCGCTTCCAGGAGTGGCCATACAATGCTTTACCAAGTTCCATTTATATCTTTTTAAGAAGATGTCTTGGTGGAACTAATTGAATTTCAAAGAGAGAGCACTAGGGTAATGATAGATTTCTATCCAGCAGTGCTATCGACAATAGGAAAAGAAAGGACATCACTGAAGCCTGAACTGTTTCCTGTGATGCAGATGAGTTTGGGCAATGGCATTGTATTGGCATACATGAATTGATTCTCTTAAACAAAGAGAGGAAGTAATCTCCCAACCTATAAATGTGAGTAAGGCCGGAAGGTGAAAAATATGTGCAGTTCAAAGTAAACAAAAAAGAAACTATAGCATATAAAAACAAAACTATTAGCAAGAATATAAAAATAATAGTTAGGCTTACATTTCATGTGTTTCAGGCATTATAGAGTTTCTAAAGTTTATAATAAATATAAAATTATTTTTTCAATTATGAAGATTTAAAATGATAGGCTAAATTATTGTCTTATGTAATTAATAGAATTAACTTACTTTGTGAACTATATTTATGACTAATTATGATAATAATTTCAGATATCTATCCCTCTACCAAAACAAATAATTTTTGCTGACAAAAGTCTTTTGGTTTTGGAGTTAGGTTCTAATAATGTAGTCGTGGTTTCCCTGGGATTCACAATGTACAGCAGTCTGGCCTGGAAATCAAAGATATCCACCTGCCTTTACTTCAAGAAAGCTAGCATTAAAGGTCTGTGCCACCACGTATGGTCTAAAATTCTCTTTTTCACATGTTGTGATTCTACTATCATTTTAACATAATATATTCACTTTAGATTTTCATACATAATGAGTGGAGTTTTATCATGTATAGTGCTTAAATGTTTGAGTACAAGAGAGGAGATTATATACTTATACTTTTCTTTACTAACCACATTTATTGTAAATGACATTTGATGTAGTTTAAAAGTCTATGTTATATGCAATGAGGAATTATTAAATTACTACATTTTAATATATATGTATAATGTTGACCACAGATGCTAAGCAAACAATTTTAGTTTTTCATTTTGGAAATAGTCAGTTTTCTTGTTTTAAAATGAACTACCAAATTACTTTAATATTACATCTGATTCTGTTATTTTTAATGAACTTAGAAAAATATGTTCAGAGAAAGCCAATATAAAATATATGCTTCTTCAAGCATAAATTAATATGAGAAAGCTATTAAATGAATATGGAATGAATTTATTTTTACTTATGTGACTATGTTGATGAGATTTAGCTGTTATTTGTTAATTGAAGATAAAATAAATTGATGACAACTCAAAATCTACTTATCTTGGAGTAGGTAAAATATTATTTGTCATCTAAAGGCATGATAAAAATAAAGAAACTATAATGACTTGGAGGCAGATACAAGGATAAATTGTAATGAAAGTAAAATTTACTAGTACTGTTTGGATTTTCCTTTCAGTTCCAATACTAACTTTATGTACCATTCAAATTAGGGACACAGACAAACCTTGGGCTCCTCAAAGATTTTGTGTATATCTGTGTGTTAGTGTTTTAGAAATGAGCAAACAGACACTTCAAACTTTTCACTCCTACTTTAGTGGAACTTTCTCTCTCTCTCTCTCTCTCTCTCTCTCTCTCCCTCTCTCTCTCTCTCTCTCTTCCTTTCTCTCTCTTTCTTTCTTTCCTTCTTACTTTCTTCAGCCTTCCTTCATTCCCCTTTCTACCTCCTTCCCTCCTTCCTTCCTTCCTTTGTTTTTCTTTTTTGGTTTTTCAAGACAGGGTTTCTCTGTGTAACAGTCCTGGCTGTACTGGAACTCACCTAGATCAGGATAGCCTCAAACTTGGAGATCTACCTGCCTTTGTCTCCTGAGTACTGGGATTAAATATGTGAGCCACTACTGCCCAGCTAAGCAGTTTCTTTGTGAATTTAGTTGCGGTAAATGAACTGGCTAAACAGTTAATCCCATTTTAATTAACTTTGCATACAGATATGTGACCTTTAAATTGTGGGAGGACAGAAGGCCTACAAAAATGGTCTAGGAAACAGCCCAAATATCATTGAACAAACTGAGCATGTGCATTTTTCACTACCAATGAAATAAATGCATTCAGCCTGTTCAGGTGCAGCAGTCAAGCATTATCAGATGGTCATGAGATCTGATGCTTCTGGTTTCATAAAAATAGTTTCAAAACCACAGAAATATGGGCTTCTAAGTTTTATAAAGCTACCCAGTAGCAAGTTCACATCTCCTGCTGTTGCCTTCACATAGATGAAATCTCAAAGCAGAAAGGCTCCCATGTATTAACCCTTCAGTGAACAGCGTATTCATGTCTTTCATTGTATCAGAAAGTTAGGAAAACTGTCCTTTAGAGATTTATTTTTTCATAGATTCAGGCTATGTTGTAAACAATAAATGTGAATATAAATCAACCTGTAGATTAGTATTACATGGGAAATTTTCCCTGACGAAGTGTAAGTCTACTCTGACATAGCTCTGTACACAAGCATTTCATCCACTTTATTATTGCTGAATTTTCTAAAATGCAATGAAAGATATATCCAACTTGGAAATCACAAATCATACACTGATTTCTATATTTAGAAGATTTCTAAAACTACTATCAAAAGGTGAAGGTTAAAAAACATTCCCGAGAATACCTTTAAAATATCCAAGGTTGTGATTATTGTACTCGTGCCCTTTCCAGTCACTAGAGCAGTGCAGTCTAAAGTACAGTATGTTTGTGAAAGGTTTCTTTCCTATTTTCCACTTTTCGAATGGGAATAACATATAAATATACATCTGGTCAGTAGCTAAACATGGAGAACTTTGCTCACATTATATCGATGAAATTTCTAAGTAATTGCACATTAAGAATTTTAAAGTGATATATGTTATTCTCCAATGAAGATCATTGTCCTTTGCTTCTTAGGTCAGAGTATGAAGAGTTAACATTATCTG